GCTCCTTGGAAGCAAAGGTCCCAACCCCTCCCCTTGCAAGTCCCCTCCTGCACATCAGTGTCTTCCATTCTGGAGGGACAGGAGCTGGACCCCAGGGCCAAGACTTGCAGGAGGTCTGTCTCCCAAGTTCCAGAAGCCACCTCCGCTACTCCCAGCTGCCCAGCCACTCCGAAGAGAGCCTGGCATTGGGAGGGGGTCCCGGGCTTAGGGAGGCACAGGGTCAGTTCTGAGCTCCTGTGGGTGGGATGTGTCTGCCTGCCCCCAGCTGTGGAGGATGCCCAGCGCTGAGTGTGCTGGGGCTGGGGTGCTCCTGAGCCCTCCTGCTGGGACATGCCACTCCCCAGCCATGGGGCAACGAGGGTGGGGTCTTGCACCTCACCAACAACACGACGGCCGGTTCTGTCAGGTACCGACACGCCTCCTAGTAAAAGCCACGTACCAAATTCCTGGGTGCAAAGCTCAGTTCATGGAGGTGGGAATTCCCTGGAAGCAAGGCTGGCCCGGGCCTGGGGCAGGAGAGCCAGGCCTCCCCTCTGCATGCTTCATCCTGCCCCAGGGCCCGGCCCCTCGTGAGAGCAGCCACTGTCCACGAGCTGGCCTGCCCTACCCCACCTGACCCTCACAGCAGCCACAGGTGCGAGACAATGCGGGCAGGGAAGCTGTGCTGCTGAGGACTGGGGACCAGGACCTGGCTCTGGGGTGATGCTGGGGTGGGGGCTCCTGAGTGCCCCCATGGAAACATGTCCAGGTGCCCCCACCTGCCCCACAGTGGCTCACTCTGGCCGTCTGCCCCTCAGTCCTGAAGGGCATCTCCCTCTCACGCTCTGGGGTCACTCCCCCGCTGGGTTGTGAGGCTCCTCCAGCAAAGGGGCATGGCTCAGGCTGGTGCAGTCCTTGAGTGGGTGGGACATCGGTCCTCTGTGGTGGCAGGTGCTTCCGTGTCTGGGAGCCTTGGGTCTCCTCCTATCTTGAATGGGAAGATTGGTTCCTGTCGGACACAGTGTCCTGGGCAGTGTCCGCTGGCCGTAGGAGATGCCCTCAGCCACCACTCAGTGGCCACCAGGAGACAGGCAGAGCTGGTGGGTTCAAGTCCTCATGTGTCTCTGAGCCACTGTGTCCTTGCTCATGAAGCTGGGGTGACGAGGTCAGAGCAGAGAGCCCTTCTGGGGACAGTACAGCCTCCCGGGTGCCAGGTGCCAGCTCTGCCCAGTCCCTCGGGCCTCAGACCAGCCTCCTGCCACCTGGCCCCGGTGAGGAGGCTGAGTTAGGTGGTGAAAAAGAGAAGGGAGCCAGGACAGGAGTAGCTGGGGCTTCAGTTGGCCTTGGAGGAGCCCCAGGCCACAGACTTTCTTGTGGGGACCGTGAGCTCCATGTGGCCACAGCAGGAAGCAGGCTTGCAGTCACTGAGGCCACACAGCTGGGATGGCCCAGAGAGTCCAGGAGCCCGCAGCGGGTGTGGGGGCTCTGAGGCCAGATTTCCCAGGTTCAGAGCCCACGCCTGCACTTCTTAGCCGGGCAACCCTCGGAGAGTTACTTAACTCTTCCGGGCCTCCATTTCCCTGTCTGTAAAATGGAGCTGCTGAGAGGATCAAAGTCCTCCAGGGTTTCGAGGTGGTGCCCATCCATAGGGAGCCCCTGACAAACACTGGGTGTGAGGGACATGCAGAGAGGAGGCTGTGCTTAAGAAAGCTGTCCCCGTCCCTGCAGAGACCAGGACAGGGAGCCACGGGGGGCCTGGCGCCCCCAGCCCCAGAGCCAGCCTCGCTTCTGGCACATGCAGCTCCTGGCCCTCCGCGGTGACCTTCAGTTCCCACCGTCCCAGCAGATCCCAGCTGGCTACCGTGACCTTGCTCTAAAGCAGGTCCCCGTCTGCAGGAGGAGAGGGGAGGAGAGCCTGATGGGCCCCTGCCCTCGCAGGCGGGGGAGCCAAGGCTAAAGGCCGTGGGCAGGGGGTGGCCGGGACTGGCCCAGACCTGCCCTCCTGGGGCCCTGGCAGGTGCCCCAACAAGGAGAAGGCTTGAAGGGGCTCTGGATGGTGTTGGTCAGGGTAGGGGTCTCCCCTGGCCCCGGAGGCCCCTGCCACCATGTGGAGAAGGTAAAGCCCTCCGTGGTAAGCACAAGGAGGTGGCGGTGGGCAGCACGACCTTGGGGGCAGGGATCCTCATCGTTGCCCTGAAGCTCCACTGTGCATAGTGCTGGGCCTGGGCTTTGGGCACATGCCCTCCCCCGCCCCTCTGAGTCTCAGCATCCCCTTGGACAAAATGAGGGCAGGGCGCTGGGAGCCTGAAGAACCCCCTTCCCAGCCAGCTCCACCACGAAGGGAGGGAAGACGCCGGGGGACACAGAGGAAAGAGAGGCAGGTGGTCAGGGTCCAACCCCTCCCCCACCCCAAGAGCCTCCTGCAGGCCTGAGCCTGTGCCTCCCCCACCCCCCTTCCTTCCCGCCTCTCCTGGCGCCTTTCTCTGGCGACAGCTGTTGTGGGCAGGTGGGCATGGGTGGGGGAGCTGGGGCTGTAACAGTCAGGGGCAGAGGCTGGCTGGCTGGTCCGCCCCTGGGCCCACAGGGAGCTGAGCAGCTGACAGATGCCTGGGGTTAGAACCTCCAGACACTTGGGGGCCTGAGAGCCCAGAGGTCACCCAGGACAGGTCTTCCTGGCTTTGGGGAGGGGGCATTTCTCCCCAGGCCTGGGAGAAGGAAGAGCGTGGTCATGTGTGCACCCTCGGGAGCCAGTCCCAGAGGGGGCAGGTGGGTGGAGGGGGGAAGGACACAGCTTCCTTCCAGAAGGTCTGCAGCCAGAGGAGGGTGGGTAGGAGGTCCAGCCTGGGAGGCAGGGAATGGGTTCAGCCCGCCGTGGTCAGCTCCCAGACCCCCAGCCTGCTCTCTACCACTGCTGAGCTTGCAGCCAGCCCTTCTGTAGATAGGCCTCAATGGTGACAAGGGACGTGGGGGCTGCACAGCACTGAACTCCAGCCCGCCCCAGGTCTCAAAGCCTTGCTGAAGCGCCCGTGGTCCCCACATGGGTGGAACACAGTGCCTACCCAGCTGGGACTGTGACACATGGCAGGTGCTCAGGAAATGCAGCTCCCCTGTTCCTTCTGGCAAATTACCCCTCCTGTGCCTGCGGTGCTGGGGAGTCACCCGTGGTTGTGGAAAAACTGACTCCCACTTTGTTCTTGCTGCTGAGAGTCTGGCGGTAGTGGCCAGAGGGTGGAATCCCCAGTGAGTCAGAGGCAGAAGGGCAGGTGTCCAGGAGATGGTCTGGGAGGCCACCTAGATAAAGCAGCCAGGGGCCATGCTGAGAGGGGACAGCCCCCTGCAACCTTTCTGCCTTCTGAACGGCCATGACCTTGAGAGAATGCACAGGCACCGGTGCTGCCTGCTGCCGTGGGGCAGAGGCCGGCGTCTTTGGGTGTGTGCCAGCCAAAATGTGCAGCCCAAGCTGGCGGGAACCCGGGTGCCCGGTGTGGGGCGGTGCTGGTCCCCGAGGGCAGGGCTCTTGCCGTCCTTTACACCTGGAATTCTTCCTCCTTTGTGTTCCCCTTTTGGCTATTTATGAAGTCAACATGATTAGGAAGACGGCCGACTTCCCTGCCGACCCTGGTGGTGCACAGGCACCTGCCTGAGTCTTACCTGAGCCTGTCCTCAACCGACTGCCTCTTTGATGGGTGAGGTCAGGGAGCTGCCGAACATCACACAATGTCTGTGGGGTCGGGGGATCACCACGGGCCCTTCCCACTCTCCGACCTGGCTCTGAGTGTCCCTCCTTCCAGCCCGCCTCCCCAGCCTGAGAGGGGTCCCAAATTTGGAAAGCTGAAAGCACCCCCACCCCAGGGCTCCTCCAAAGCAAAGCCAGCCACATCCCGCAGGAGCCTGTTGACAACAGGCCCTCCCTGGGGCTCGCGGGGCCTCCTTGAAATGGGGCTCTGCTCCCTCCAGAACTTCCCACCTGACCCCCACTCCAGACCCCTGTGGGGTGTATCCCCAAAGACCTCTTTCCCGAACCTTTGTCTGGCAAGCAAAGCTTTACTTTTTCAGTGGTCTTGCTGGGAGTGATGTGCCTGCTGGGTGCCAGCAGCCGCTGCTGCACGGAGACCATGGGGGTCCAGGTGGCGGGGCTGGCTGTGCACAGCCTGTCCTCTCACGCGTGGTGCTGTCCTCTCTCCCCTCGCCCTGGCTGCAGTGGGGCCGGGCGAGTCCACGGGCTGGGTGACCGTAAACCAAGCCTCCCTCTGCGCTGAGCCCGGCAGCTGCCAGCTCCTGGGGAGGCTGAAGGTGGTTTGGGATTTGGCAAGAAAAGGGTAGTCTCTATGCTGTTTTCAGCTCCTTGCAGATTTTTTTTTTTTTTTTTGAGACCGGCTGCACCGCGCTCAGCCAGTGAGCGCAGCGGCCATCCCTATATAGGATCTGAACCCGTGGCGGGAGCGCTGCTGCACTCCCAGCGCTGGACTCTCCCGAGTGCGCCACGGGCTCGGCCCTCCTTGCAGATTTTTAAGCTCTTGTAGTGGGGCTGAAGTTGCTGTGCTTTGGGGGCTTGGAAACCTCAGGTCCCGACATCCAGTTTCCCAAGATGGATTTGTGTGTCCTTGATGCCAGCCTGCTCCAGGGAGGTCTCAGGCCACTCCTCCACAGGCAACTTTGCACCAAGACGGTTAATATAGAATGGATTCGGATGCCCCCAGAAAGGGAGTGCTGGTAACCACCGCAAAGCCCTACGAGAAAGGCCACCACTGTGGAGACCCTGGGGGTTGCTGGGGGATCAGTGGCTGTGCTCAGGGGCGGAGGCTGCTTGCACAGGCCGTGGCCCCCAGAGCCTTCCCTGGCGGCGTCTCAGAAGGAGCCCGGGGTGGGGTTTAATTGTGGAGCCAGCTCTGACCTGGCATCCCCGCCCCTCCCCGCGCAGCCTCCGTGGTGCGGTCCAACACATCCCTGGGCAAGCTGAGGCCTGCCCTGGGCTTGGATGAATAGTCATGAGGACTGGAGGGTGGGCCGGGTTTGTTGTTAGATGCAGCGAGTTGACAGAACTCGGGAGATGGGAAAAGCGAAAATGCCAACAAACAGCCCACATGTTCTGCAGCATCCCTGGCTCCCGCCTCCCTAGCCACGGTGCCTCTCCCCCTCGGTCCACCCCACTGTGTGGCCGCGACTCTGCCCCTTCCCTCTCCGGCCACCCAGACCCATGCCTCGTCCCGCGGCACACCAGCTCCCCGGCGTGTGCAGACCCTCCGGCGCCGACCATGCTGTACGTCAGTGACCCCATGCGGCACCTCGCCACGGTAGGGGATGCGCCCTTCTCAGGATCTATTCGAGGGACCCGTGTCCATCCTCCGGGGGGGACTTTGGTAGGGGTTTTGCCGTGGTGGACAGTTCAGAGGGGCTTTCTCCTGCCTGTCTCCCTGCTTGGGCTCCTGCTGCCCGTTGGACAGACCAGAGGCGGAAAGGGAGGTGTGGAGGCAGGGCAGGTTCGGGAGACGCCTGCCCATCCTGGAGTAGCTCCGAAGACCAGCGCCCACAGGCTGGACAGGGACAGAGGCAGGGCGAGGAGGCTGGATCGGTGTCTGATCACGGCTGGGTGAACGGTGCCTCTGCCTTGTGAGTCGGGGGTATCTGATGCTTCCTAGCTTTGGGGGTCAGGGTCTCTGTGCTGCTCTGCCCCGCCCCAGTTTCCAGGAGCGCAGCGTCCCCCAGAGTCATCTTTGCTCTTGGGTCTTGGGTGTGAAGCTGCCCCGCCCTGCTCCCAGGCCCGAGAGCATCCTCACCTGGGAGCTTGCTCACTTGGCGGTGGTGGCAGGAGGTGTTTCTCGTTGCTGTGGGTTCATCTGGTGTGGGTCTGAGCTCTGGGTCAAGGACTTACCACAAGCTGGCCGTGGGCCTCCTGCTGCCCCATCACACAGGGGTGGCTGGCCTGGCAGAGGGAAAGGAAGGGACTGCAGCTTGTGCTTGGCTCCTGCAGCCTGAACCCCAGGGACCTGGGCTCATTTCCAGACTGGCCAGGTCTCCGGGGTCAGGCAGGCGCCAGGCTGCCAATCAAGCAGGTGGAAGCTGGTGCGGCTGCTCCACGCAGGGCTGTCTCCCTCAGGGAGGTAGGTAGAGTGGGCTGCTGTGTGTGCGCTGTGCAGGACACCTGGCAGCAGGCAGAGTCCAGGTGTCCCCAAGCTCTGCCAGCCCAGGACAGGAGCCATAAGTGCATGGTCACAAAGACCTGGGGATTGGGGGCCTTTGGAGAGCTGCGGGCTCTGGGCAGTGTGGTCAGAGCACATGTGTTTGTTAGAGAGTCATGCGTATTTGTGCATGCACACAGGTGTGTCTATGTGAGTGTGCATGCTAGGGTGTGCACATGCATGTGAGTGAGAATGTGTGTGCATGTGGGGGGTGGTATGGGTGTGTCTATGTGAGTGCACATGTCTGAGTGTGAATGTGTGTGCACACGCAGGTGAGAATACGTGTAAATATGGGTGCTGTTGTGGGTGTGTGGGTGCAGGTTGTATGTACAGGTGTATGTGTGCACACATGTGTGCGTGTGGGTGCAGGCTGGGGTGGGTGCATGAGTGCCGGTGTGTTTGTGTGATATGGTGTGTGGTGCATATGCGCGTAAGTGACCGTGTGTGTCTTCCTGTGCATATGGGTGTGAATGTTGGGATGTGGACATGCATGTTTGTGCCTGTGGGTGTGTGTCCCAGGCAAAGCCGTGGGAAGGGTGGCAGTGTGCGTGTGGCCCAGAAGGTGGGTAAGGGGTATGGGTGACCCATCTACACAGCCTGACCGGGCGCTGGCTCTGTGCACTCGAGTCTGGAAGCACCATGGCCTCTCCACACGCCTGTCCCGACCTTTTTCTCTGAAGCCCTTTTATCTGGAGCACGCAGCCCTGTGTGGAAGACTGCTGCCGCGGGGCGGGGGTGTCCTCCCACCCCTGTCTGCCTACCACCCACTCATGCACTGACTCATTTATCTGCCAACGCGTCGTTCTTGGAAATGCACCGCAGGCCTGGGACTCCCATGGTGGTGCCTGAGCTGGGAGGGGATGTCTCCTGGCCGCCGGGGTGTGCGGCTGTCACGCTTGGAACCCAAGGCAGAGCTGGGAGCCCCTGGTCTGGAGGCCAGTGTCCCTGCTCAGCCAGCCAAGAAGTCTGGGGATGTAGGGACTCTGGCACGTCTTCCCCTCGAGAGGAGTGGGTGTCACAGTATAACTCCCTGCGGGAGGATTCGGTCGAGGTTGAAAGCAGCTACTGTGCGGGCGCCTGTCCCGGCAGGTGGGTGGGCAGCAGAGACCCACTTCCCTGGGCCACGGAGTGTCACTCCCCACGGGGGCCACTGGTGTCCACCCTTGCTGCCGCCGCCCATGCCCTGGGGACCAGCAGTGTCCAGCCACGTCATCACGCTGTTTCATTTTAGACCCAGGGCAACTGTGGCTGATGTTCGTTCTGTCAGCGAGTGTCCGCTGAGCACCTCTCATTTGTTAAGCCAAGTGCCGGGGACAGACGGAGGCGGTGCCGGAACCAGCATGGCTCCAAAGTCCCTTCCCCCTGGGGGGAGGTGGGCTGGTCTGGGTCATCCTAATCTGGGTGAGTGACTCAGTTTCCCTGTTTCTCTGCTTGAGAGAGAGCATTCATGACCTTGTCCCTCTGCATGAAAATATTGCATGAGAGAAAACGGTATTTGGGGGCTGGCCGGTTAGCTCAGCGGGTTGGAGCACAGTGTTACAACACCAAAGTCGAGGTTCCGATCCTTGCACTGACCACCCTCCCCCACCCCTAAAAAGAAAGTGGTATTTGGCCCAAGGTGTCTTATGCCCAGAATGGACAGATAGGCTTGTACAGGAGCTGACGGGTTTATCCCGCCCACTGGCCTTTGTTGCTACTGCCAGAGTGGAGGAGCCGCAAGGAGCCCGCTGGGCAGACCTGGCCCTGGGAAGCTGTGTCTGAGCTGCAGGATGAGGTTCCAGCCCTGGGCTGGCTTTCCTGCCTGCTGCATGCACCCCAGCAAGGGCGGGGCTCAGTGTCTGTCTCTGGCACCAACTGGCTGTGTCTTTGGGGAGCGATGCTCTTTCCCGAGCCTCGGTTTCCCTCTCTGTAAGTGGGATGGTGCTACCCATGATGCCCGCTGCACAGGGCACCGAGCTGTGGGGATACTGTGGGAGCTGCAGCCACGTTGCTGTCCTGGCCAAATGAGCCTGCGGACAGAGGCGCGGAAAAGCCTGGCCTTGCTGATCTCTGTTCCCATGCCTCCCTCTGCTTCGAGGACGGAATCACCCTCGTGGTGGCTTTGGCCAAATGATGCCACATTTCGAATCTGCAGCTCCCACTAACTGGAGTCGTTCAGCACCTGACCCCCGGGGGTGACACCGTGGTGGGGCTCAGTCCTCCCACCTGCAGCGGGTGACAGGCCCTGCTCACAGTGCAGGAGGAGATGACGGCCGGGCTGGTGTGGCCTGTCTGGATGATATGAGGGAGGGTGGAGACGTCGGAGCCGGGCGCTGTTCCCTGACACCCGGGACTCTGTGACTTCATGGGGCAGGAACCCCCGGATTTCCCGGGTTTCTGGTTCACAACAGAAACCGCTGCTGTTTTTCAAGGCTCAGAGGCTCAGGAGAGAAACCAGGGGATGTCTGTCACCATCCCTCCGGCATGGTGGGTGTCAGTGAATGTGTGTGTGTGAAGGTTGAGCAGCCCGCCCACTCCATCCCTGCAGAAAGTGCAGCCTCTGGGCAGGAGGGGCCTCCAGGGCAGGTGGGAAAGCCAGTCACTGCAGCAAGAAATAGTCACCTGGAGCCTACTGTGTTAGGGGGGACGGGGGGGCAGTGGGGGATATGGGGATATGGGGCAGACGGGCAGGAGCTGACGTGGGTCTAGGAGGACCCTCAGCTGCAGTGCTGGGAAGAGACCACAGGAGGGCAGGGCCGAGGCACCTGGACCAGGTGGGGGCAGGTGAGGTGCTGAGACGCTGTGGGATTCTGGGCAGGATTTGCTGACAGGCTGGATGCTGGAGGTGAGGGAGAGGGGTAGGGCGACCCCGAGGTTTTTGGCCTGAGATGGGTAAAACTGTAGCAGGGGCAGCGGCATTGGAGTGAGAACTAGCTGCTGCTGTGGCTGTGTCGTGCTCAGATGCCCGCAGGTGCGGGGGGGGGGGGGGGG